GCAGAAATGCTGAAATCAGCACGAAACCATTATAAAACGAGCGTGAAGTGAAGAAAAACGCACCGTCAAATACGCGATAATTTCCTAGTAGTAGTACTAGTAGTACTAGTAGTAGTAGTAGTAGTAGTAGTAGTAGTAGGAGGTAGTAGGTAGTAGTGGTAGTGGTAGGCGGCGCCTTTTTTTTGACGCTGATTTTTTTTACGCTTAGCTTCCAGACTTGGGTTCCGGATTGTGGGGCCAGCGAGGGTCTTCCAGCTCTTGTTCGCACTCTGTAGATGTTGAGAAGTGCACATTCGGGGACCCAATTGGGGGAGCGGCGAAATATTTTGTTTCTTTTTTTTCCGGCTTCAGTGACATAGTTAAGTCATGCCTCGCCGCAGTGTGTCTGGCAGGGGCCAGGGAAGCACTTGCACTTTTGCAGATTGTGTCGGAGCAAAGTGCTGAAAGTCCTAGTCCTGCGTTGGCCACAATCTGAAACCCATGTCTCGACGCTGAGTTTTCGGAGCTTGCTGCGCCTGGAGTCGTCATGGGCGTAAATGTCTCCCCGCACCCCACCCCCCACCCCCCACCCCCCACCCCCCACCCACCCCCCCCTAAACAGCCCATTTTCAAAATCAGCAAACACGCAAATGCAAACAAAAACGTGGGTCATACGAAGAAGAGGGTGCATTAGGGTTTCTAGGGTTTAGGGTCTCTAGGATTTGCAGGGTTTTTAGTGTTGTTACGCTTTAGAGTTTTTGGGGTTTAGGGTCTTTAGGGTTCAGGGATTTTACGGTATTCAGGTTTTAGGGCCTTTAGTACTTTAAGGTTTGCAGGGTTCAGGGTCGTTAGGGTTTGCAAGGTTTAGGGATGTTAGGGTTCCGGGTTTGTGGGGTTTAGGGGTGTTAGGGTTTTTTGGGGGTCATGGTTTCAGGTCTTCAGGGGCCGGGGGCTTTAGAGTTTGTACGGTTCAAGGTTTTGAGGGTTAAGGGGTTTGAGCGTTTAGAGATTTTGGGTGTTTTAGGGTTTAAGACCTTGAAGGCTTTTAAGGGTTTTAGGGTTTAGGGGTTTGAGGTCGGGCTTTTTAGGCTTTAGGGTCTTTAGACCTTTTAGGAGTTTTGGGCTTTCAAGGATATCGGGTTTGTAGGGTTTGGAGTGTTTAGGTTTAAGGTTTGAGGGTTTTTTTCGGGTTTAGGGATTTTGGGGCTTTACGGTTTAGGGACTTTGGGGTTTTCGGGGTTTAGGGACATCAGTGTCTAGGGTTTTGTTGGTATAGTGTCTTTGGGGTTTAGGGGCTTTAAGGTTTTTTAGGGGTTGAGGGTGTTAAGAGTTTAGGGACATTTAGGATTGTATAGGCTCTGGGGCGTTTGGGGATGTGAGGGTTCAGGGTTTGTGGGGTTCAGGCATTTAGGGGCTTTTAAGTATCTTCCCGAGCCGAGGCCGAACCCGAACCCGAACCAGAACCTCCGCCCCCCCGCTTTCCCGAGCCAAACCCGAACCCGAACCTGAACCTAGGAGGTTCCGGGGCGTCTGGGGCACTTGCTGCGCACTAGTGAGTACTGAAGGCTGAAGTGCTCAGCTTTTGCATACTGTTCTGGGAGAGTTCTGCTTGGATGACATGTGCGCCTGATGAGTGAGAATTGAGGTGCTTTTCGTCTGGCGCTTCTCCCAGGCCTTCTGGGTGATGACGGCTTGAAGCGGCAAGAACTGCAATGCCGTGAACACGTCCCAGCCCAAAATTCAAGAAGGATCTGAAACGAAGCGTTGTGAGGAGCTCCCTTGAAGCGCATCTTATTTGGTCAGAAGCCTTGAATTCTTGGCCCAGGTTTCCCTCATCTGAAGCCATTCTGGTCGACATAATTTCTGGGTATAATCTCATTTTCCGTGCCTGCACTTCTGCTTGCGCGCAACGACAGAAAGCGTGTTCAGTTGCAGAAGATGACGTGTGCCGGGTCGCGAGATTTTCAGAAACCGGCCTTTGATTCAGAAACTATGGTTCAGACAATTTCAGAAACTGCTTCAGTACCACACCCGTGCTCCAGCTTAGCACGTGGGCCAGAAAAGCATCAATTCCGACCACAATTTGCATAATCAAAGACGTTCTGGAGCTTTAGCGTCAAGATTCCAAGTACTCTGCAGCAGGTGCAGGCATATTCAGTTCGCAGACAGCAAGCAGCGAGCAAGGACCCATCAGGTTGCCTTTGCCCTTACCACATTCAGCCCCCCTGTAGCAGTCCGCGCAAAAGGGTTAGGGCGCTTTGCCCAGTAGCAGCAGTAGCAGCAGCAGTAGGAGGAGGTAGGAGGCAAGAGATAGCAGATACTAGATACTAGGTAGCAGTTAGTAGTTAGCAGCAGGAGGAGGAAGCAGTAACAGTAGCACTTGCAGTAGGAGGAACAGGAACAGCAACAGCAACAGGAGCAGGAACAGCAACAGGAACAGTAACAGTAGCAGTAGCAGTATCAGTAGCAGTAGCAGGAACAATAACACTCACAGCAACATTCACAATAACACTCACAGTAACAGTAAAAGTCCCGGTAACAATAACTGTGACAGTAGCAGTAGCAGTAACAGTAACCACCAGTAGTAACAGCAAAAGCAATAGCAGCGGTAGCAGTAGCAGTCGCAGTCGCAGTCGCTGTAGCAATAACATTAGCACAGACCATGCGACAAGCAAAGTAGCAGCATATGCTCTTCCTTGACAGGCGCACAAAATTCAGCGAATGCCGCTGAGATCCGTGCTCAGCTCGGAAGAAGACCAAGTGGAAAGCTTTCCTGATCCATGCTGCGTTTGTAGTTGCTGCCGGCAAGGTGCAAGGGCAAGTTCCGCAAACTCCTGACAGTCGCAAATCAGCGTCCCCGGCCAGAACCTCACAAACATTCATTGAAGCAGAGGGTGGACCTGGAACAAGTCTGCATGACCACAACCTCTCCAAGGTCTTCACGCCCCCGCCCAGGGTTCGGAGCGATGTGGCTGTCAAGGACTTTACGGCATGATGTCAATGATGGCGAGATCAACGGCTGTTCCTACTAGCACTTGAGCAGGCGAGATCTGAGGTCGCAGAGAAGGTCTGAGACATTCTGAGACATGCAGACGCAGCCTAATGGGGGTCCTAGACTGACGCGCCTTGGTTGTGCTGGAGCATAAATATTTCTGATGCCTTGGTTTCACTGCTGAGCCGACTTGTACTGTAACAACGTGCCGTCAGAATCCAATCAGCTTTGGACGACGGACAAATTAGAACATGGGGAAAGAGAGCTCGCGCATAACGAAATACCCGCAACAGTTTACAGCCTTGGCACTCTGCATTAGGAGGTCCCTTTCGTGGATTCCTGAAACCTATGCTGAGCTCTCTGCAGAAGGGGTCAGCACCGTGCGAGCATTGTGGGGTGAAGAAAAGTTTGCCATGGCTGCTGTCATGTTTCGTGAATTTGCCTAGCTTTGACAGTATCCTCGGCGGGCTTCAGCCGTAAATGTTTGCTTTGCAAGATAGAGCACAATGCCTTGCAAGCTCTAAAGCTGCTCAAGGAAGCAGGTACACACAACTGGGCAGTCAGGAACAAGTAAGCCATGGCAAGCACAACGTAGAAAAATCGCACGTGGCCTGGGCCAACTGACTGCAGAGATGGAACTCGCAGCTGTTGGGCCGGCAGGGGCTGCTCAAATGGATGCTTCCTCAGAAAAGCTATGTTGGACTCTTGGAGGCTGCGCAATCCTAGTGACCTAGTGGCCATGGCCAGGTGCACCACATGCACAGATGCCAGCACGGCTGGACTCATTTGACACATTGGCGTTGGAGGTCAGAATCAAAAAGGTGTGTTCCAGCAAAGAAGTGCTGCAAGATGCAGGCGGATGCCGGCACTTTGCATCGCAGGAAGCCTGTCCTCCAGAAGCTGCATCCTCAGAGCTGGCAGTGCAACTGCTTGCAGGGCAAGCTTCAAGCTCGACAGCTTTCCATAGTCATTCAACGTGCTTTCGCTGCCAATTGACTTGGCAAGTGAGCTGGTCCAATCGTGGTCTCCAGAAAGTGTTGTCTTCAAATCGGCTTTCTTACACAGTCCAGAAATCGGTTCCCGTGTGGCTGGGTAGTTAAGTGGTGATTGGGTGCCAGCAAGGCGGTTTGGTGTGCATGGCTACATGTGCGTATACGAAACCTTTTAGGAATGGTTTCTTACGGCCTTCGGCCTCTGCCATGCTCTGTGGATGCAGCCGCTTCAATTCAAAAGACTGACTAAGTAGGTTTAAATCCTCCTCTAGCTTGCGGTAACAGCTGTAGTAGATTGTACTAGTACAGCTGTTGTTTTTCCAAATTCCTGACGGATTGTTTTGTCGTATCGTGGGGTGGTGGTTGCACGTTGCACCGGCACAGGTTGAACACCAAAGATGCACTCCGTTTTCAGTTCAACATCCGGCTACATATCCGGCTAGTTGCCCGGTATCTCTACAGAACTGCAGCTGCCCTGGCAAGCTTGAGTTGCAAAGTTGGAGTTCACAGGACTTAGCCTCATAGCCCATACCTATCCTGGCGCAAAAGCGTCTCTCCTCAGCACTCCAACCTGAAGCAAAGTTGGATGCAAATCCACTTGAGCAATGAAAGATGAGGATGAAGCTGATGAGGATGATAGCGTGGTAGCACCTCATCGCTGGCGGCGGCAACGAAAGCAGCGAGTGCCGGAGCTGTCGCAGCTTTTCGAGGAAAGTGCTGGTTTGAGGTGCTTTGCTCTCAAAGCGATTGGTCGTCGCCGCAATAGCACCCTTGAATGCATCTTGCAACTGCCTCCTGAGCAGCGGGCAGAGGCACTTGCTGAACTCCGCTCAGCCAAGCTAGATTCGGAGATGAAGGCGGAAGGGAAGTGCCCTCGGTGTATGATGCAGCTGCACTTCTGTATTTGTGCAGCTGTGCAGCGCATCAGAGGTAAGCTGTTAACTGACGTTGGCCATTCAAAGCTCCACTTTGTTGTCTGGATTCATCACAAAGAGCGTCGAAGAGCATCCAACACAGGCAAAATTATCCAGCTGCTTCTTCCAGAGTCTACTGACATTTTGATACAAGGTGTTTCGAGGGATGAAGCTCGTTTGCAGGAGCTGTTGCAGGGCGAAGCCTTTGTTGTGTATCCTTCTGAGGATGCCGAAGTGGTTTCTGAGGCAGTGACTCGTCCAGCTTCAACTCAATCGCTGAAGCCCACAGCTCCAGTTGCAATTCTGATTGACGGAACTTGGAACCAGGCACAGCGCATGCACAGGCATTTTGAGACGTTGAAGCATGTCAAGCTGATGCCTGCTGGCAAGTCCAGCTTCCATTGGAGACGGCAATCGCAGGAAGGGCGTATCAGCACAGTCGAGGCTGCAGCACTTTTACTGGAGAATCTAGGAGACCCGCCAGATGGCATACCGGCAGCTTTGCACGAGTCATTAAAAGTTCTTATGGATGCATTGGGCCGTCAGTGCCATCACGACACACTCTTCACACAAGAGTTGCCCGAACCAACTGGCAAGAAGAAGCATGCCCTTGGCGCAAAGAAGATCCAGAAAGAGCTTCCTGGTCAGCGCGGATCCGAGGCTGTGCAGAAAGGCATGAGCTGCGAAGAGCTGTAGCTGTGAAGGGGTTCAATTGTGCATACGGTGAAAGCTTTGCGTTTCAAGCATTTTCAAGCTACGTCCTGAGAAGCCGTTAAAGCTCGAGACTTTCAAGAAATGGTGCCGCGCAGATCTCTTAGAAGGGCCAAAGGGCCGCAAGGACAGGATTCTTTCCACAAGACGAAGGTGGCACCGTTTGAGAAACTGTGAGAGGACTTTTTCTTCGCGGGCCTGCTCTAGTAGTTGCTGCACTGTCTGCGTGACTCCTCGGCAATTGGTGTTAATTTGAGGCTCTTGATTGTGTGACGAGGCGAGACCTGTGCGTGCCAAGGGCGATTGGTTCGGCAGCATTCCTGCAGTCGTTTAGCACAGGCCTGGGTTGCCTATTTCAGCTGCTCAGACTCAAGTTCTGTCCATGAAAAGGTGCTGGTGCTGGCGGTCGCCGACACCTTGCTTTGGGTCTCGCGACGTCCTCTCTGCTTTCGCTAGGACTGCTGGCTGCAAAGTATCATCACACCTCTCAACTCCAGTATTGTGCATGGCACTGAAGACTTTGGATGTGACAGCATTTCAAGAACCTCTGAGCCATCAACCGTGGTTCAGAATCATGTTTACTGTGCGTTGTTGGACTGCCAGATCTTTTTTCTTTGGTGAGGATTGTTTAGTTTGTTGGGTGAGGGGTTGCGGCAAGGTGGGTGGGCCTAGGCCAAGCGAATCTAAATAAGCGACATAAACCCTCGAACAAGATTGCAAGAGGCAAGCACACCTGTGCTTGGTGGTAAGTCCATTGGGTGGTCATTGGAGCTTGGCATCTCGCGACTCACCTGATGCAAACAGCGCATGCTTTTTGTTTCCGACTATCCCGCCAACTCCCGCATCCCCAGGGACTCGAAGAATTCCACTTAGAGACCCAAAAGAGAACAAACACATGTCCAAGACATGTAACTTACAACATAAAGGAAGCAGAACACAAAGAGCACAAAAAACACAGTTCGCAGGCACTTGTGGCTGGGCTCAACTTTGCATACATCTGGGACAAACCAGTCTTCTCGGAGTTGATGCAACAACATCTCAGGCCGACCAGAGCCTGTACGTGCTGAAGTCGCATGGGGTGGGGCCTACGATGATGCTCGGCTCGTCAGCTGGCGCCCTTGGATTTCGACTGTTCGCCGGTTTGCGCTCAGGATCCTGAGTACCCTGGTTGCAAGAGGAGAATCTTGGACCTGGGCTCTGGAAAGATTCAAGTGAACATCAAGGCCTGTTACGCTCATCAGTTGATGTGGGCACATGCCACAGAAGCAACATGACTTCTGGAAGGAACCCGACAGAGGCAGAACCTGCAAGCAGAATAAAAACTTGGAGAAATTCCTGCTTCCAGGCACGTCGAAGTTGAGAGATTCACACAGCAGTGGGTCACAGCAGCTGCTCCTGGCTTCACCTCTCAGCTGAGCCCAGCTGTCGGCTTCAGCCAGGCACCGTTCAAGGTGATCAGATCACCGTTGACTTCTCTCCAAAGGGTGGGCCCAGCAAGGTCGTCATGTCCTTAGGTCCTTAGAGTTTTACAGGTCATACGGGTCCATGCGCGTCGAAGCTTTGCCGTTGAGGTGGGAAAATTTGACGGAAATGCCATTGTCTTCCAAGATGGCAAGACGTGGACAAAGATTGCCGGTGACAAGAAGAAGACGCAGAAAGGTGTGATGAACACCAGTACCCTGTCTACAATCCAGACATGCTTACCCACCGAATCTAAAAGCACTCGGGCGGAGCTACATTGCTACGTCCCACGCCTGCACACGTTGCAGTTAAGAGCTTGCGCAGAGTGTGCCCTTGGTGTCCCTCATTGATACCAAGGAATGGGTGGCATACAGTTTACTGACCCAGAGGATTAGTTTTGCTTGCTAAGTCTGAGCAGAGGGCAAGCATCAAGGCTTGCAGGCTCAGTCTACTTTTCTTCGCATGTCAGACAGCCAGCGCTGGCTTCCTGACTAGCTTGACGCTTCACAGACTGCAAGGATCAGCTGAAGTTGCCAGGCCTAAAAATTCAGCTCCTGCTGTGCCTGTCATCATCCCACCCAATTAGGTGTTCAGCCACCCAAACCAAACAACAGGCTGACCTGCTCGGGATGACTCCACATGCATTGGTTGCCATCAATTGAAACTAGGCAGTGCGCCATTCACTCTAGTGGATGTCAAATGCTTCACACTGGCGGGGTAGCCTGCAGAACAGGTTGAGGGAATGGGATGCACAAAGCATATCTTGCAAACTTTGTATGCATCAGAAAGTGGTATCTTTTAGGCTGTCAGGCTGCCCATGAGCTCCGCTGAAGCTCTTCCAAAGCTGCCATAATTTCCACCGCCCCAGCACGATTCATCGCGCCAGCAAGACGCTTTCCTTGAAAAGGCCAGTGCTTTGGCAAGACCAGACTCAGATTCGCAGGTCATTAGTGTAGCTACAGCCTCTTAAACACCTGCGCGTCTCAAGAAGAGACACGTGGAAATTCAGCGGGCAGATGCTGTGCAACTCTGAGCAACACATAGTCGAAGTCTTTCGGATTCAGCACTGCAGCTCCGAAAGCAGCATTCCTCAAATATCCTCGACTCCTGTACGTTCAGTGTAGAGGAGTGGCGCTTCCACCTGAGGTCTCGTTCGGTGCCTGGCAAGCAGGGGAGGCAAGGAAATGCGTCTGCCTGCCTTCTGTGGCATTTCCTACAGGCTATACTCAATACTGTATTCCAAAGTCTTGATGGTGTCTGAATTGTCGCTTCCTCATGTCAGCCAGTGTTAACGTCATGGCGAACCTTCAGGACCAAATGCCCAGAGGCACAAGTCGTCCCGTCCTTCAGTCCCGAGAACCTCGTTCTGACAGTTTTAGCGTTCTACGCTCTTCGTATAAAGAAGGGGGTCGCTTCGGCTCAATTGCGTCCAGATCTGGAGGGAGGGCTCCGGTCGCTTCATGTCAATGCTGGCAGGAGAAAAGATCAGCACAAGGCCACCTGGGCCTGGGCGATTTTTCATAGGTCATAGGACTTGTGAGACAACTCTACGTTTGAAGGGGTTTGTTTCAATGCGCAGTGTCGCGTCAGGAAGTTCCCAGATCCACCTCCCTTGCATTGTCGTTGGCGTGTCAAACTCCATTTCTAACCTCCAACCCTATTATGATCCGGCTCTTAGGCTCCCCGTTTCATCTTTTATCTTTTCAGATGCCCGGGAACTTCCCTCTCGGATACACGAATCACGGCTCTAGGAGCTCCAGCTCGATCTGCCGTTTCGAGCCAGACTCGATTCCCGTTCCGCATGTCTCTGCCAGAAGCTTCGCGCCATTTCGCGCTGCTCCCAGAGCGACCATCAGTTTGAGTGTGCCGTGAAGACTCTGCGGAAGAAGAGACGTTGTCCGTGTCCGTACCAGCTTGAGATGTGCTGGGTGCCGTGAGGATGCTGGCTACGATGCGCAAGTAGGTATGTTCTTGTTTTTGGTGTCAACAGTGTCAACAGAAGATGTGTATTAAAGGCTGACTTCCCGAGCGCAGGCGAAGCCCCTGCGCCAAAGAGAGCCTGCAGACCTCCACAGGCCGAACATTCCTTGGGAACATTGCTTGGGCTTCACCAGCGATTTCGGCGTCAGGTGCATACCGCTGGATTTCCAATCCCTGTGGAGGTTCAACAACTGTTTGATTGCCACCGTGACCTAGCATTCTGCTGGGTTCGCTGCAGAATGAACATGAGTTTCTTTGACAGATGAGCATGCAAACAATTGCAATCGTACGCTCTCCTTACAAGGCCGGCTAAGCTGAGGGTTTGGGCAAGAAGCTGTTTAATAGAGTAGAGCACGAATGCGGTTTAGGAGCGTTTTGGATGCCCCCGACAGCCCACGGTTACGGCGGGGGCCGAGAACTCGGCTGCAGTGGGATAGCTAGTGGGGTGGGGCCACTGAACTAGTGGGTTTGGGTGCAAGGCTGGGCGTTGTGCTGATTCCTTCGCTGTATGCTGCCGTGCTTTGCTCATGCTGTCAGGTTGTTGGAGGCGAAGCTGCTGCTGTTGTTGCCAAACTCTTTCCTGGCATCGCCAATGCACCTTGAAGGAGAAGCCGGTGCTGGCTTTCTTGAGTTTCTCGTTAACGAGGACAACACGGAGGAGAGCATCGCGGGGCCGGCAGTGCTCCTTAAGTCTTGCGATTTTTTGGGGGCCATGCTGACCCAGAAGTTTGGACACCAGTGATTGCAGGAGAAACTTCGAGCGGCACTGCAGGATCTTTCTGGCTTCGATTTCTTGTGGGTCAGACGTTTGTCTGTGTGTGTGTGTGCGCGAAAAAAATCAGTGAGCTCCCGGCCTATTCTTCGGGAGAACCAGGTCATCACGTACCTGCACATGAACGAAGGCGCAGCCGTGTGCTTCTGCATTGCAAGTCGCTGCATGTCTTGCCCATTGCAGGATGGTCAGCACGCGTCACTCCGCCAAGAGGCGAATGCTCGGCGTCCGGGTTCAGGGAACTGATAGCAATCTGAGTGTTACTACCTTTGGCTACGTGACTAAATCGTTAGTGCTTGTCCTGTTGCCATTCTGAAGGCCGCGTGCGCCAAGTGCCAAGTAACATACAGCGCCAGTGCTCTATATCTTGTAACTTGCCTGCCTTTGTCTGAGAGGTTTCAATACGTTTGGGAGACATTAGGCTGCATTCTACAAGAAGCAGGAGCTACAAGAAGCAGGAGCTACTTGAATTTTTCGTTTTCAAGAATGCGTAGACTGCGCATTTTGCGGAGTAGTTTTTTTACATGCTGCAGGATAAGCCGCCATGTTCTGCAGCTTTCAGAGTCATTCGTGTTGCTTTCTTCGTGAGTTTCGGATACAAGCATGTGGCTGTCCAACGCTAACATGCTTGCATAGTGTCTTTCCAGGTTCTAAGAGCATTCAGAAGAGCAGCATGCGTTCCCAATTCGTTGCACAGTTTGAACATCCTCTATGTTGGGTGAGTCGCTTTCACAGCCTTTTCATCACGATCACTATCAGGGAGAAGGGTTGAAAGATGTATCCGGCGGAAAAAACTGTGCAGAAACCATATGCGCACATAATATTTGCTCACATCGATGTGCTTTCTGCTGCGTGGTTGTGACAACATGATGCTGGGAAATGAAATGCTTGGCTTCTCTCCTCGCACTGCGCTCTGTGTGAGTCAGTAAAGGGGGCCACGCCGTCCTTGCCTGTAGATGCATGCCCCAGCTGCAGTCGGAATGCTTGTGGCGAAGAATGAGCTAGAAGAACAGACATAGCATTCTGCTAGATGATTAGGAAAGCCGTGCCCTGGCACATCCTGGCAGTAATCACTGCATGTCATAGGCTGTTATGCAGTGTTGTCCCGTCGCTACTGTGTGGATAGGAGCAACCTAGAACATTATCCAAATTTTGTGCTGAGCAGGGCCCCGCAAAAAGCGCGGCCTCTTTTCGACGCGGTCTCCGCATCGACCGAGTCGTGGATTGATTTTGTTGTCTTGTGCTGTTGGTTGTGGGATGAGCAGGTTCCTCTGCCACACCGTTGTGTTGCACCTTCAGCCCAGGAATCACATTGGACTATCTGCTTGTCGCAGCAAACCCAGAGAAGATATTGCAATCCAATACGCACCCATCCCTGGTGGAAATGACCACATCAGGCTTGGTGGATGTGGACAGTGCGGCCTTGCGAGGCGGCTCTGTTATCCAGCGGCTATCAAGTTCTTGGAGCAGCCCAGTCTGAATCTGTGTGTGGTGTTTTGTCTGGCTTGCCACAGTTAACATCCTCGGACTGGACTTGCTTGACGGCACGCCCGTCCTTGACATCAAGCCATATGTGCCATACTGTGATAGCTTTCCAGGCCAGGCAGGGAACATGCACTGGGCGCTTGTATGTCAGACTTCGGTATGCGTCAGCGTATGTCAGCGTCATTAGTGATAATGCCTATAGGACCTATGGGAAGCAGCATGGGCCACAAGAAAGCTCAGCCTGCTCGATAAGAACCGCAAATTTTGAGCTGTGGCATGCAACTCTCCCTGGAGAAGTGTCACAGCTTCTTAACCATGATAGCATGAGTCATTAGTTGTTACGTTTTATCCTCTGGTTACGAAAAGTTGAAAGTTGGGAGCGGCAAATTACAGCGTCGAAGCAACGATGAGGGATTTATAGAGTTTGCAAGGGCCTCCCCCTCGAGGGTTTTTGCATAAACATGATCATCATCGTGTCCCGCCAGGTCTGACTTATGACTACGTTCACGTCATCACAAGTGTCCATTTCTCATCACCGCCCTTGTCAAAGTCGTCATTCTCGTCAATCATCTCTTTTTCAGAACCCTGATTACAGCTTATCACCGCAGGAAGGCTATGGGCTGCGCGTGAATTGAAAGTGCGGCCGACTTTGTTGTTTTTGGCTTTGGCAGCGTTGATTAGGCACGGGAGTGGTGCATCTTGACCGATTCGGGCTATGCATCCGACTGCCTCGCAACCGCTTGGGAACAGTGCCGTCGGTTCGCTCAAGCTGATCATCATGCGGTTGGGCAAATTTTTCAGTTAGAGCGGCAATGTGTTAGGGGGGCGCCCCCAAGCAAATGCCGCGGGTTCCGCGGGCCAAGGCAGCACCTTTGAAGGCGGCGCGTCGAGATTTACTTCTCCTGCAAGCTGTCACTGACAGTCTTACTCGGCTTGAGCAGCAACGCTTTAGTGTGGCCACACATAAGCAAGTGGTGTATCAGCTGAACCCGGGCCCACAAGTTTGGGACGACTTGTGGCAGATCTGGCTGTTGGCAGGTTGGAGCTGGAAAGAGGCTGCTACCAATGCCTGATCCTGAAGACAGCCCACGCTTTGGGTGTTTTCGAAGCTGGTGAAATACTACATTGCACAGCTGCGACCGCCTGTCAGGGCTTTTCGACGCTGGGGGTCTTGGGTAAAAGCCTGCACCTGTGCATCTCTTTGCATTTTTCGACCATGTGGCCAGAGGAGCCGCGCGGTGTAGAATCAGCTTCGTTTCCTTCGAAAGCGTATGGGCATTGACCTTCTGCTCGAGGATGCGAAGGACTATTTTATGGGTAGAGCGCAGCATAACGCCCTCCAACAAGCAAAGGTGGTTGAGCCACGCTGTCTCCTGGGATTGTTGCTCTTATGGCATCGTGCGGGAGGCTCAGCCAGGGTAGTTCTGCAATCGGTTATATGTTGCCTTTGACTTTGATATCTTGCTTTCGACGGAGACATACCCGACGCAGCTACTTCACCCGCCTGGACGACAGCATGTGGTACAGTGCTTGCGTCCAGAGACAAGCGCAGGGTTCAAGGTGTCGCCCGCTGCCTCCCGTATGTATGGGGAGTGTGGGCCCGGTTTCAGTGGCTACAGTCATGAAGCGAGTAACTTGCAGCAAACCGTTTTGGGGGGGCGGGGAGCCTGCCACTGAGCTCGGGCTGTAATGTATACTAAAACCTGCTCATCGGAAAGCTCGCGCGAGCTGCCGCCAAAGCATTGTCTCGGATCTCTGCCGAGGGCTTGGGGACGTCCTGCCAATACCCTAAGGCCTGAAGTCCGGCGTGCTGCGCGCGCTGCCTTGCGTGTGACTGATGTGCCTCCTCCCCCACTCCTAGCTGAACGAGGACTCTTCTAAAAAGTTCAACCCATGCCCGGTACGACACGGGGGCGCATTCGTCACAAAGGCCGATGCTCACACAGATGACTTGTCCCTACGAAGAGCTGGCAGCAGTCAAGCGTCGGGCCACGCAGCACTGTGTACCTCGTCCAGCCCATCCAGCTAGTCCGGCGACGTCAAGGGCCCTTCAGGAAGTCCCGGCAGATTTTCGCAAGTTTTGGAAGCACCCTGCACTAACTTGGAGCCAGCTGGGGAGACATCGCGTGTCGCAAGCCGACCTTGCGCAAGCCTCGTCAACCGCTTGGGTGCGACTCTTGAACCAGGAGGCGCGTGCGTGCAGTGAAAAAATCATGGCTCGATCATGCTCGATCATCTGCTCGTGGTGCTAGACCTGCTGGAGCAAGTTGACTTACGCCGTGGCAACTCTCGCAGAGTCGTGGGGCGCCGTCATGAGCATCCGTGGAAGGTGAGGAAGTGGCTCAGCATGTGGAGTCGTCTGCCTCCTCGGGATGGGGAATCAGTGGAGGGCTCACCGGGCGAAGATGGCAAGGCCGCCAACTTCCATCAGGTTAAGCCCCTTTGCCTGTCCACTCCTTCTATTTTAATGCACAGGTGATTGATGAGGGCGCTGATCCCACTAGTCAGCCTGTACATTTGTGCGCCGCGTGCAATACGAGGTTGCCTAGTGATGTTCAGACTGCCATCTCGCGGGGCCAGGTAGAAGACTCCGGCAGAATCGAGCGGCGTGGAGTGACCGCTCCGGAGCCGCAAAGACGCGTGCCTGTTTTTTTGTCGTATAGTGCTGACAGTGTGCGTGTCCCATAAGGTTGCTGGCGGGGGTCAGGAATAGAGACGGGAGCTTGATTTCTAGTCTTTCTTCCGAACCTGCGATTGCAGCCTACGATTCGTTAGCCCATGTGTGTGTCTGGTTTTCATTCATGATCGTAGTACTAGCGCCTGCAGGCCATGCTGCAGGCAGCGCCACCTCGCCGCGAGCACCGACCCAGAGGACACGGGATCGCTACACGCGTCACGTGTGTCTTGACCGCATCATGTCAGAATATGTGGCCGTGAGTTGTGTACTTTCTTCTGTAGATTCAGGAATGAACTCCAGCGCGTGAGCAAATTCAAATGCGGTAGCTGTGTGCTTAAACGTGCGTTGCTGCAGTGGTAGGGTGCTCCTGTCATGGCAACTGCCCAAGTCATTCAGCTTCATGCAGCGGATGGAGGTCTGTCTTCTTGCTTGACCGTTGCAAATATATGAAGACGACGCTCCAGATGCCCAGCCTCCATGACTTCTTTCATGTCGTTTCAAGTGTGACGTGGGAGGCGGAACTGGGCACCAAGATTCTGGAAGGTGCCGCGGCAGTGGCCAAGGTGGTGAGGGACCAGGAGAGGCAGCTTCAGTCAGGTGGAGGCCACTTCGTCTACCCCGAGTGCAGCCAGTGCAGTAGACGATCCGTTGCTGGACTCAGTGCGACAAATGTTGGAGCAGAACTGGAAGGTGCCCGGAGATGTGTCTAAAACAGTAGCGTGGAAGGGCAGAGGGGAACTCCCGCAATATCCTTGGCCATGTACGGGGACATGGATACTGATCGATAGGTGGGTCTGGCGTTGGAGGGACCGTTCTCGCATGTCTTGTGTTGGTGTTTTGGATTTTTGGAATTGCCATTGAACAGAACCCCGTCGCGGACGAGCGTGCAGCTCAGAGCTTCCCCAATGTGATCTCGATGCAGTGCGTAGAAGACTTAAAGGGTGACAGGTTGAGCGAGGTCTTGAGGCGCCATGCGATGGAGGGTGTGGTCTCCGTCTTGTTTGCAGATTTCCCAGTGTGCGCCAAGGCCATGGCGTAAGGCTACAAGGCAGCTTCTCGGATGTGATTGGGATGTCTTGTCTAGCTGTAGAGCTTTCGTTGTCCGCCCAGGAATGGAGGAGTACTCAGAAGGACAGGACAACGTAATCGAGCATTACTTCAGGCAGCCATTGGAGTGCAGAGCGCGCCCGGTGATTCTAAGCCGGGTCCTAGATCATCTGCTTCCACCCGGACTTACCACAGAGCAAGAGCATCACATGTTTGGTGCAAGCCTGGAAATTCTCCCTTCGCCTAGACCTTCCTGTGGAGGCCGCACCTGGTCATTGGCTATTTGGGGGCCATTCCCATCCAGATGGCAATCAAAAATTCGGCGCACCTTGCATTGCGTGGTCCATGCCTTGGATGAGGTCCTTCGCCGGTGTCGGGTCTGTCAACACGGAACCCCAGAGCCTTGGCAGTTTTCGCGGTTCCTCAAATTGCCCAATACCACACGATTCCTGAGGTACCTCACCGGTTTCAGCGTGGTGGGGGACATTGAGCGCTCGGGGTGATGTCCCCGCACCGTCACAATTGACCCGCGAAGACTTCACGGGAGAGGCTGCCAATGACTTCTTGGATGAGCTCGTAGCTTCTACACCGTCCAAAGATGTGGAAACCATTTGGAACCTCACCATGGAAGAGAAGGACAACCGCTGTTGTACAGGTCCTTTTAACAGATCAGCCATGGACCGCTTCCTGCTAACCCAGCCGTGCGGGAAGCAAAGGCCGATCGATGACGGGGCCCAAAATTCGGCTACAGAGATGTCGGAAACCATCTACACCACAGGCATGGACATGTTGCCCGTTTGCGCCCGCCGCATTGCACGGCAAGTCCTCGACCTCCAGGGTGTCAGAGATGTCAACACAGTGCTGGACGCCGCGGCAGCATTGCCTCCCTAATTCTCGCCTGCCTTGACGGCCATGGACTTACCGGACGTGTGTCGATGCTGCCCAGTTCAGGAGGATCAACGAGGGTACGCTATCGTGTCAGTGTACTACATCAAGGACAAATCCTGGAGGTTTTTCGCCTACGCCGGCCTTCTCTATGGTCTCCCGTCCGCAGTGCTGTAGCTTAACAGATTGCCTTCCTTGCCGGTGGCATCGCCCGGGCGATTGCTGGCCATCGCGTGTAGGGCTTACTTTAACGACATCTTTGATCTCTCCATCCGCTACCGCGTCAAGCAAGCCATGGAAGCTCTGCTCCATGTGTTGCATTTGTCAGGTTCTCCTCCGGCCCCAGCTAAAACACAGGATCCTGCGCCTGCTGTGGCTTACTTGGGGGCCGCCGTTGACTTCACGGAGGCGGAGTTTGAGGGGGTCGTAACGCGTGGACCAACATCGGCTCAGTGACTTGCATGGATTGTTCATGCAGTGGAAAAGATTCGGGAAGAAGCGCCTTCTTACTCCTCCCCAAGCACCCAAGATTCGCGTCCAAGCAGCATGGGCTAGACCCCTCACGCGTGAAAATGCGGTAGGTTGGCGCTCAGTTTCCTTAAGGCTCGCCAGTACGACCATTCCCATCAAACGTCGGTTAGCCCAAAACAACTTGCAAAACTTCGTTTGCTAGCACGCATAGCCCGGGGCATTCTGGTTCTCGTAAAGGCCACGCAACCAGTCATAGTATACTCTGATGCCAGCTTTGAAGGGGTCGAGCTGTGTGCGGTTGGGTGGCTCTCGCGGGATCTCCAACATCTTTGGCGCACGCTCTGTCTTGACTGAATCATGGCCGTCACTTCTTCTGCATCACCGCATGACCTTGTGCATTATCTACACCGTCGGCAATCTCATGCCACATGCCGCCGCTGCTGGTGCTGGTGCTGCCGCTGGGGCTGCTGGGTGCTGCCGGGTGCTGCTGGGTGCTGCTGGGTTTGTTGCTACCAGTCATTAGACGTTTGACCTTCCACTGAACTTGAAAGGCACAGTGCGGCAGCATGTGCTGTGCTCCTCCTAGCTTGTGTTGGCCATGGCTTAACCCCTTTGGTGTTGAATTCCTCTCAAGCGCAAGGTTTGCTCCTCTGACCAGCTGCTGCGTGCGTTGCTGGAGTATGCTGGAAGGGCGTAGACTGCGGTGCAGTTCTAGCACAGTGCGTGCTTTGGGTCTGCAGGATGGCAGCAAATCAGCGAAGGCTCCTTTGAGTGAGGACCCCTGATGGGCCCAAGAGAATAAAGGGAGTATTTCGGTGAAACGATCAACATGAAAAGCTAGTTTCCGTGCCTTCTATGGGGTTGCAGTCACGGCAAGGCCGTGCGGAAGGATTGACGAAAACCGCCATCTGCACGTTCTGCATCACTGCGCTGTTCGGCAGCTAGGGAAATGGCATGGGGTTGGCAGGTTGTTAGCTCATCACGCAAACGAGACCAAGCAACTGACAATCATGCCTATGGTATAGTCCAAAGGAGTGATAGTTTTGTTGCGTAGAAGCTGAGGCAGGCCTACCCAAGAATCGTGTGCTTATCTTGACAGATGTCTGTTTAGGGCTAGGGCGGCTTCTTCAAACAATGCAAAGTCTTCAACTGCAGAAGCATGTCCGCAGCGACATCCGTTCTGAATTAAGTTAGGCACAAATCTGCAGGTTTCGTGCTTCGTATGCCCGGTCCTTCACGTGCGATCCACAAGCCGACAGGTGCCCGTGCTGGGTGGTTGGACGAGCTTGAAGCCAACGGCCGTGACCACCTGACCTACTGGCCGCCTCCCCCGCGATCCTGTCCAGCTTTAGCTGAACCCGCAACTAAAAATGGAAGCAATGGAAGCATTCTGCTCACGAACTGGCCAGGCACTTGGATACGCCAGAGCAGTCGCCAGGAAAAAGAGCTCCACCATATGCACAGTGCCTTCTGAACTCATGATTTCTGTTTCTTGCAAAAGGTGTGAGAGTTTAGACCGCTGCCACAGCTTGGTTCAACACATGCATCGGTAGTTCTGAACTTAGTGGTCAGCTTTCGGGTTGAGAGAACGTGTCCGAGCCCTTGATAAAGAAGAAGTCTTGCAATCAAAGACCATCGGGAATTCCAGAATGCCAGTTGCTCAGGCGCTGGGAGGTTGCGCACGAGAATGCTGAATGGCCTGGCTGTCTGGACAAGTTATGTATAACGCGAGCCATCTAAGACGACACTCCCAGGCTGCTGCACAGCTCCTGTCATTGAAAAGGAGCCCCTACTGCAGGCCAACATCTTGTCCTGTCTGCTTCTGCACATTTCAGCATGCTGTTCCTTGAGGCTGCTCGACTGCCACCTTCTACTGGGGATGCTCGCTGCAACAGTTTCCATCTTCCAGCCTTCTTTTTTCACGATCGTACCTCCCGCACTGGTAAGGAAACGTCGGGTGCAATCCTGTCAGCGCATGCAGCTTTTGCACTGACACCGATTCTGGTTGCCGTAGCAACGCATCTGCACGCAGTCGTTTTCGCTTTGTAAATCAATTTCTTGCCGGGGTCTGTACCGCGTGCACATCAGCTCGGAACGCACACGCAAGAAGCTGGGAAACAGGCATCCATTTTGGAGAAAGGCCTCTCGCGTGTTGTACCTCGTCTGCAGGGGGTGCAGCTGCTGCAAGTTGTAAAGTGATCTCCAACATCCCGTTGCCTTCCTGCCTACGAAGGTCTTTGCCCTCGCGATGGGTGCAGTGGCGGTGCTGGTGTTTGCAGCTTGGACAGCAGAGAAGGCATTCGCGAATTCATGGCTCTGTGTGTGGTCTTCGCTGCTTCGTCACGTCTTTCGCCTTGAGGCATTCCTGTTTCTCTTGGTGGTTCTGGTGTCTCCAAGATTGGGTTGCCCTGGCCTTTCATCTCGATTGCAAATCGGCCTGCTTCAGCATCCAGAGCCTTGACTTGCAACTTGCAACATTTTGTAACCCCAAATGGTCTAATCAGATGCCTCAGTGGCAAAAGCTTTTGAGTTCCAGGAGCTGACAGGGTATGACAGAGTCCCAAGCCCCTTCCCCTCTTGTGATGCTGCAAGGACTGGCCGCTAAGCCGGATGGTGGCCAGCTGAGTTATTAACTAGAAAAATCACTTTTGACTGGAGCTGCTTGAAGGTTCTTCCCTGGATTCGCGTTGCACAAGGCGGGGTGGTTCAAGCGTTGTCAGTGCCGGTATGTGTCTGTGCACCTCTGTACCGCGAGGCATGGAACTCTGCAACGACGCGCGCTGTTACCGTCTCAGGTGGGCAAATTTGTTCTCAGGATGTGCGTTGCAGGAGAAGGTGGTTTTCCTGGCAGGGAGACGCTGGGAAACAACTACTGCTATGCCGGCATGGTGTCCATAGGCAACTACAAGGCTTCTGCCAGCTGTGACTTGGCTGTGAATGCTAGCCTGGCTTTTGCTCTCTGCTGTGGAAGATGGTTGAAGCCGCGCTCACAAGTGGCCAAACTCGCACAACTCTGCTCGGGGCGCAGGCCAAGGAATTTGCAGATCGTATACTGAAGCGTTCAGCACTGTGCTGAACGCATAACCCCTGGCAGCCTTTGGCCAACCTGCCCGCAGTGGACCGGGACATTTTCTTGCTGCAGCTGGCTAATCTAGCCACTTGGCGGCACAAAGACTATTGAAGGGGCTCCTCGGGGTTGCTTGCCAAAAGACCAGGCAAGTACTCCAGGTGTAGTTAGCAGTGCAACAGCCAGTTCCCGCATTACCCGCCAAGTTGATAGGCAGGATGGGCCTATGACCCCTGAGATTAACGAGAAGTGCCAGCCAGCAGCTTAAACTCCAAACCCTGCCCGACCTCTGATGAAGACATTTGACAGCTGGTGACTGCCACAGGAAGCGAAGGCTGCAAAATGCACTTGCAATGACGAAGGTTTGCTAGCGATGGAATAGCTGGAGTGAGAGTGTGTCTCTTAAGAAACTATTGCTGAAGACACCCGCTGACAGCTTCAGCCATGGGACCGATGTGTTTGCTTGAGCGAAGTTTCAAACAGGTCCGGATGAAGCTGCCAGAAGGGCACGGCCTTGCAGAGAGGCAAATTCCTAGCCCTCAAGCCGTATTGCCGTATTCTACACACGTCATGGGCAAAGACTGCAAAGTTACTCAACATGCCAAGTTGCAGTGAGCAGCAGAAAAGGAACAGGAGCAATAGCCAAGATGGATGGGCCCAAACAACAGTAAGAATGTCACAGGCTCGGAGCTGATGCTTCAGTTGGCAGAGCATAAGCAGTTCGTGTGGAGTGTATTGCAACCAAGGACATTAACTCCTTGCACGAGAGGTGCCTGGATTGCGGCTTCCAATGAGGTTTATTGACATGTAATGTGCGCAGCATCGAAGCTTCTGAAGGTTCATAGCTTGCTTCAAACACTACATGTTTTGCAGCGGCCCCAGTGGAGGTGACACCCCCTCTGCAGCTGAATTCTGTTGGTGTGAGGTGAGGGGTTTGCTGAGAGAATGAGCTCCGAGAAAGCAGCGCGGCTTTGGAGACAGCTAGCTCAGGAGTCTTTTTTCCTCGCTGCTTTCAACGTGGAAGCCGGTTTCTGCCCCTAATGAAGGACTACAAAACCATGCCACGGGGGCCCGAAGAGAAGTTTCACACCGCAGACGATGCAGGCAAGCTGCAATGCACGGCATGCGAGGTGTTTCATCGGTCGTTGCTTCTTTTGGAATGTCTTTCTTGTTACGGTCAGGCTTGCAAGGTTTCCTGATACGGTACTTCTTCTATGTGGCTTGGCATCGGAATATGTTTGCCCGCGCCATGCAAACAGGCATGACAGCGGACTTAGGTCATGATTGGCCTTGATCCAGAAGATCCAGAACTGATGGAAACACTGTTTCCATTGATGAGCGGGGACATTCCGAAGCTAGTCTGAGTGTACGAGAATGGGGTCCGGGCTGATGCCGAGAAACCTGGTGATCTTTCATAAATCAAGCCTGTGCTCTGGTGCGTACTTGGGGTTTTCGATTTAGAGGCTTCTTTCATTAGAGCGTGCCGATGACATGTCTGAGTTGCGAAAAGAGCGGCATTTGCAGCGGCAAAACGTTTATCCTGAGCATGTGAGGATTGCACTTGCCTACTTGGCACCTTTCGCTTGGCACTTAGCTGCTGATTTGCTTCGTTTGGAAGCTCTGTTGCGAGATGCGTGTGCATCTCAAAGTGCTTGGCTGGGCCGTTGACCCTACATTCGATGGACAGGCACATCTGGGAATCATGAACCGCAGTATCCAAGAAATTGATTCAAGGACGCAGCAGTTCACGCCTTCATGTCGGTGCCCCCATGTATGTGCCACTTGGAGGATCTATAACAGCCCAGCCCTCTCAGACTTCACCGAAGGTAGGAGCTGTTGGCCGGTCATCTGCAATCTGGGCTGTCCTGGCATGTCCTGGCCTCTTGCTGCAGGTGAAGCACGCTTTGGCAAGATGTCCAAGCTTGAGCTGGCGAGGTGACGAGTTTTCCAGCACGTCGGGTTATGTTGGCACAACTCTTGCACCGAATTGATGTGTAGATCCACGCTTCTTGAATCCTTGTCTCCTTGCCCTTAACAGCCTGAATGGCGTTTTGCAAGCCCAAGCTTGGCGTCCGCATGCCGGCTGTTGCTAATGATTTCAATAGTGATGCCCATGATGAGAATGAGGATAATGTTGATGATGGTGATTGCTACTATCATTACTATTCCTCTTCTTCGTGACGCTGGGTCAGAGTCGAGGTATCATGCGATTCATCCGGCTTGTTCTGCTGATTGCCCGTCCTTTTTGCATCTGTCGGAGAACGGCCATGTTCTGCTCGTGACTCCTAGCAAAATGAGCCTCGCCTGCTATTGGAAGTGCTGCCTTTGGCCGTATAGATGTAGATCGCTTGCAGCGACGATCAGCAACGTATTCGTTCAGAAACAGTTCCAGAGACCAACAGGGAGCGTACATTCAACTTGCCAAAGTTCAAGCTTTTTAGAGTTGACGCCTCAGATGAGAAGTACACGAGCAGGACATCTTGGCAGGACTTCCTCGGACAAACCCCTGAAGATAAGTTCGCAATGAGATTGTCTTTTGGGGCTATCAGCCCAACTCTACATCCTCGCATCAGCTGTGAGGTTGGAGGATCTGGACAGACGCCCACAAGAATCCCGGTTTTCAGAGACTTGTATCAGGGTAGAACATTGAAGCCCTTTCCCGAGGGTCACTGCTCCATGACCCGCGCACCGCTGCCAGCTTGAAACACTCACGGAGGGAGGGTGCCGGAAGATGAGTTAAGAGTCGCAAAAAGGGTTTGGGCCCCGCCGTCAAACTGAAGCTGTAGCGTTACTCATGTGTTCTGCCATGGGCTGGTCAGAGCTGGGCACTTTGTTTCAGTGGTCGCAGGATATCAACGTGCATCTTCAGACTGGCAGCGATCACTGGCACGCTTCAGCTGGCCATTCACTGAGCTGAACAACCAGAGAACAGGCCTAGTCAATCCGTCTGTCTGTTCGCAACTTTGATTCAAGGCCAAGTCCATCACCGGCGGCTTGAGGCTGCCGGCATACAAGGATTTCGGGAAGTCGGGGAGCTTTTCTTTCGCCATTGCGCGTCCTTGGATCCAAGTTGCCCTTTGCAGGATATGGACAAAATTGATATACCTTCCTTGTGGGACAAGATTGATCTCAACGTTGCTTGGCCAAGTGACAGTGCAAGACATAAGAGGGCGCAAGAAGATGCGAAGTTGAACGGCATTCAACATTGCTCTTTTTCTGGCAACGGACACGTAATTTCTGTACGAAGGACACTGCAGCTCTGGAGAACTTTTGCCTCGAGGCAGGACAAAATTGAAAGAGAAAAGGGTAGCGGGCTCGACTGGACAGCATCCTGCAACACAATGACCTTTCTGCAATGAACAGGGCATCCATGCTGGTTGATGCGGCTAATTTTAACTGCCTGGGGTGATCCGGCATGCATGCTTCTAGAGGAGCGAATGGTCAAGCTCAGTCCATATGTTTGTTCGGTCGTGCTAGGCTTAGCAGCTGATCTTCTTGGGATGCGTTTTGATGATCCAGCATTCTGGCCATCGTAGGGTGGGCCGTTCGTGCTTTGGCTTAGCTGCGCTTAGCCATTGCTGTGGCAAGAATGTAGCACAATGCAACCTCCTTGAGGTCTGCTGCTGGTTATAATTGAACTGCCATCTGCACAGGCTGCTCGCCTGGATCCTCCAGTTAGTGCGGTTCACCATGTCGCAACAGAATCTTGGCGTCTCTCCAGCTGTAGGCTGCATTGCTCAAATACGAAACATCATATATCACTGAATCTGCTGATGGAACGGGCATCTGATTTAGTCAAGGAAGAATTCTCCATCACCTTACAAGGCCAGTGCGACCTGCTTTGCTCGCAGATGTGGAAGGTCGTGTGCTGGCTTGGTTATGCTATGCAGGTGCTGCGGTCAATTTTCCTGCTGGCACACGCGTCCTGGTTCCATTGCGACTCAGCCACATGAAGTTTGTAATAGTGGTATGTGACGGCATGTGCTGCCATCTGCTGCCCGAGGAATCTTGCAATGACTGATCAGGACGAATGGGTGTCAGTAGAAATTATGGAGGATCAGGTTGCAGCATTGAAGCTGCGTCGCGTTTCGTAACCGCGTGCGCAGCATGATCTAGTTCATGCAAGCGGGAAACGGAGCAAGGGAGCCCGTCGCGGGACTTGACAAGTCACGCAGCAGCGCAACATGGTTCTAAAAAGGTCAGGAAACATGGATCGCCCTTGCAGACCTGGGCTTGGGGGCTTGGAAGGAAGTTTGGGGCGCGGATGCCTTTGAGTTCAAGCCCGGCAGACCAGGGCTACAGGCAAGGGCTTGTTCATTCATTCGCCGCGTTTCCTCGCTGCATTGGACAAGATCAGCTGTGCAAGGCGCAGAACATGGTCTTCGGCAATGTGGGGCAAGCGGGCACGCGAGTTTGTCCAGGCCAGAGATTAAACATGAAATCAAACGACATGGACGTGATCGGACGTGTCAGATTAGTCTTTCCCAGGCGCCGGCATTGCCCTTGACACCTGTGTAAAAATTCTTCGAGCTGCGGCCTGAGGGAGAGTTTTTGGTACTGTGTCGTGTTTCTGGAGATCTGTTAGCCTTTGAGCATAATGTGCCTCATTTACCTCCCAACCCTCTTTCCGAATCTTACAACAATGCACTAGCGGGGATCTTTCCGTGAAGGCTCTCCGCCACACGTACACGTGCCCCAGTACATGTGGCTGCTGATTTGAGTCAATTTCTACGTAGCTTTGGCTTGGCACATCTTGGCACTTAGTACTTAGTAGAGTTGGGTGCAGCATGCGCGCTTTCATACGCATGAGGTCCTTGGTGAGGTTCGCCGCAGCCAATGACTCCGCCATGTCTTCGTCTCACTCCCCAGGCAAAGCTCCCTGGAGACTCAGAATCTTGGTCTCGGGGCCGGTTCTGGTGTATAGGCAGAAGGTCTACCGTGGACATTGGCTTCTAACTACTGGAAGCAAGATCCGTTGAGGGCTGTGACTGCCAACGTTGAAATAATAACTTTTGGCGACTGCGATCGAGAGTTGCCCTTGGCAGGAGATCTGAGTTGCTGCAGGTTCTAGTAGTTTGTTCTGGTACTCCTCTCAATGCTCTGTGTTTGTCTATGGTGTCCAGCTGCAAGTAGACTTGGTCGCGAGAGTGGCACGGCGTCCAGCGTGCTTCGGGCGTGCCCCTGAGCATCTTTGTTGGCCAGCATTTCGTCAGATGCCACACCAACCTAAACTCCCCGAGATGCTGCTGGTCCGATATGGGTTGCATTGTTGTTTTTGAGGCCCCAATGTGAACTCATGCGGCATGCTTTTCTTAAGCGCAATTGGCTTAACTGGCTCCCGCTGACTTTCGCGCTCCTGTGCCTCACCATGTTGCAGGAAAGAATGCTGTAAGCGAGTCTAGCCTATCCCTTGCAGTCGTTGCCTCCTGAATCTGCCAATCGCGGTGAGGTCATGGCTTTCACTGCCAGGCGCGTCGCGCGCTCGCTGGGAGGTGAGCGGGCTCTGGTAATCCTGATTTTCACAAATTTATTCATGCAAATTACAGGCGCCGCGGCTCTTGGCAGTGCAGCCTTCCTGGCTCGGTCTGTGCCATCACAATGCTCAAGCCTCAGCGGCTCTCAAACTCCTTTCAGGCTTGAAATTCAAATTCCCGTCCCTTTGCTAGAACATCAAACCCCAGAGCCAAATACACTCGGCCCTAGCGCCCTGGTGCGGTGGTAATCCATCCCCGTGGTGCTGATCTTGCGTTTCCTCGAGCTCTTCACTTTGTGGACCACTCCTGCTGACACAAAATTTGTGCAGCCGTTCCTGGTTGGTGCAGTCTTTCTGGTAAAGCTTCTTGTGAGACCCCTCAGGAGCAGCGTGCAAAGGCAGCATTGCATCTCTCCCTTTTTCCCACTGTTTTGCTCAACTGGCCAGTGCTTTTCATTTTTTGGGCGACATGCTCTGGGAAGCCTCGTGCATGGCAACGAAGTGCCAGTTTTCCAGGTGATGACAAGGATCCTCCGCATCCGCCGTCCTGAGCTGAAAGATGCTGAGGGTCCTGGAGCTGTGCGTGGAGGGTCTTCTCTCAAGGCGATATCCCTTCTGGATAAAGTCAATATTCCATGCCCACGAGATCCCGAGTGTCCGCGCGGTCCCCAGCAGATTATCAACCTGTCTGCCGCCGTTCAACGCGCAGGTAGGGTATTCGCTTGTATTGTAGGGCAGGTAATGCATGTTCTGCAAGCTTGGCTCTGACAGGCCCGGGTTGGACCATTCAGACTTATACCTTGTTTCGACTCTTCAACTTGGGGTAGGTAGAGGTGCAGTAGTGTAGTGGTGGCTGGAGCACGTTGGAGCTGGAGCTCTTGAAGAAAAAGCAGTGGCTGCTAGTACTACTGGGAGTGGTAATAGAAGCGAAACCAACAGGACTAGCCTAAAGTGGTCGTCGAATCCTTGTTCATCAGGTTGTTGTGCTTATTTGCTATCATACTACATATACTACTATGACAGGCGCTTGCACCGGGCATGATTGAGCAGTTCAGCATGTACTGGTCGAAGCGTTTCGTGCTCCTGCCTTCCCACCATTGCACTCCAACATCTCTTGCTCCTGTGGATGCCAGGTGCACAAGTGACACCATTTCAGTTCGAACAGTTTCAACGATTCGAGCAGTGACAACCCAACTGGCACGCTCAGCTTTGTGACATAAGTCTGGTAGCAGTCAGTGGCACAAGTGGAAAAACATCCGGTGCTGGCACATGCTGCTGCTGACGTTCGTGATCGTGCTGCTAGTGGTGGCCGCGACTCTGGTGGTAAATGCTGGGGTTGCTGGTCCAGTGCCGCTGCTGGTGGTGTGATCACGGTGATGGTGTTTTTCGCTGCTGGTGGTGGTGCTGGTGGTGCTGCTGCTGGTGTTGCTGCGGTGCTCTTGCTGTTGCTGGTGGTGGTCCTTGCAACCATTCCCAGATCTACAATGACAGTGAGTAAGAGCGCACTTCCTGTGACATGGGCTGCTCTGCACGACATCCACTTATGTAATGCATTCCAGAGGAGAGAAATGCAGATTAGTGCAAAACGAGGACACAGAATCGAACAGAAACAGAGATTTGCAAGAACCTGCCTGCGCGGCTTCTCTCTCTCGACCAGCCAGCTTAGCGCTGAGGCCGGGGCTATGAGGTGTATCGGCAGGCCGGTGTCGTTGCTGAATGTCAAGGGTCATGGCGAACAAGCAGGGGCTTTGCAGATAATCTCGCCAGGTCTGTGCCACCTGCCACTCTATGAAGCAGTCTGAACCCTTTTTCCAGAACATTTCTGCCTGCGGCACACGGCTTTTCAGAAAATATTGGACTGAGGCTTCACTTCAGACACTTGGTGGGCTTCGTTCTTCCAGAGAAGCGGGTCAAGGAACCCACCATATCCGACCATGGCAAGCTCAGCATCTTTCAGCACGCTCACTGGCATCGAGCAGCCCCATTGCATCGCTTGGCACCAACATAACATGTCGTTGGGCCGCTTCTAGTTCCTCCCTTGCCTTCACAAGTTGCCATGCATCTGACCATGCAATCTGAGTGACTGAATGCTAACGCTGTTTGCAGGAAATAGCATCAAGCTATGATGTTGTGGATGGACCGAATGATGAAGGCTCATCTATGTCTGCCGCTTTGGACTGCTGGCAAGGTTTCGAGTTTTGTGCTGTCAGGGGAGATGTTTACTCGGCCGGGCATCTTGGTGGACGCCTTCCCATCTCCTTATCCTAATGAGGAGGACAGCGTGTGAGCTTTTCCAACAACTTCGTACTTATGCAGAATTTGAAACAGACGTAGCGATTCAAGCCAGGCCGCTCGCTATGCAAATGGTGGAGCGAATCCGCCTGCCGACAGCAAACTATGCAACAAGCAGACTGTAGACAACGCCTGATCTGCTTTCGAAGGCCGGATCTGAGTGTCTACACCACGGCAAAGCATGAAGGCCGGCTCCTTGCACATAAGACCTGGCGGAATCCTGGCAGATGTGGGCCGCGATAAGGACTAGACTACATTTTTGCCCTCTTGCTGGGCTACAGAGCAGTGGGCCTCAGTCACATGCTCCGCTCGTTGGATAGCATGCTTGCCACAGCTGCTTGGGTGAGGATCCTCCTGCTGGCATTGAAGTTCGCGATGGATTGTACTACAATGTGCAGCTGGTTTGCATTGGTCACCATGCGTTTGGAATGCAGATTTTCCGGCAGGCACTGCACAGGAAGCATTTGCCAGTCATCTCCGGCACTTATTTCTTGGATGATTCCTAATAATACTGGTCCATACCTGCTCCATAGGATAGGGTATGGATCATAGATGCACCTTCCGTTTCATACTCTTTCATTCCTTCATTCCATACCAAAGAAAGGCTTAACATCACAACGCGAGCCGTAACCCATGGATCAGCCCTCCGCCTTCCCTGGGATACAGATCATAAGCGGGTGTGGCTGAGCTTTGGGACAGCCATATTCCTCCTCGGATCTCTTTGGGTGTTCAGAACACACTGTGCTCCGCAGCCCAGGTACTTCCCTGGAGGCCGAAATTGAAAATCATACTGTTTCCTGGTCAACCAGCAGGGGTGGCTAGCCAGTTCAGGTTTGATGCGAGCTGTGAAAGCCATGGCGCAAGACGGCACAGCAGTGATCAGCAGTGCTTCTAATTGCTTCTAGCCGCTGACTGCGTTCCTCCAGAGTGGCAGTACATGCTACGCGAATTGCTGCGGAGCAGGGTTGCCAACATCTGGGACCTAACCGGAATCACTGCGTGGGTTATGTGCGCTTCAAACACTGTTCAACTTTTGGCACGCTGTAGTTTCCCACAGGCTGGTTGACGGCACTGGATGATGTGTGAGGGCAGCATATCATATTGCCTGCTTTCCAGACCCACCCCCTCCTTTATGACCCCCTCTGGTCTGATGCAACTTCTGTGCGGTCCATTAACAAGACTTGTGTGCGTGCGATGGTAAGTAGTCAGTGTCTGTGTGTGTGTTGTGGTTGTGATCCTCCCCTTGGCTTGTGTGTCAGCTGCTGTGAGACCTAAGATCGTCTCTGCCGCCAGGCCTGATTGGAATGCCGAGCCCATTGCACTCCGATGGTCTGGTTGATTACGAGGTTGCAGACTCACCGAGTTCATAGAATGCAGTCTGAACCAGTGTGAAGTTCAGTTTCTGGAAGTCGTATGCCCTGCTGTGCCTGAAGGATGGCACTCCATGTACGAAGTCACAAATGGCAAAAGACGTTGCAAGCTCAGAACAAGCTGTTTTTACTGGGCCTCGCCTGTAGTTCAAGAACGGGCGCCCTTGCATACTGCATGTAAGGATGATATGTGAGATGAGTATGCGCGCCTGCACAATCCTGCACATATGTATCAGCAGGAGGCTGTAAATGCCTGGATGGAGCGAAGCTAGCAAAGTCAGCTGAAGACAGCTAGAGGGCTAAAGCCTGCGCAGCTGACCAGCCTGAAATGTTTCATCGAAGGGCTCATCACACGCATGCTCCTCGCGCTCTCTGTCCCTCTCTCTCTCTCTCTTTTTATTTCTTGTTCTTTCCTTCTTTCCTTCTTTCCTTCTTCGCAGTCTCGCCCTCAGATGAACGCACAGACGCTCACGCACACGCAAAGTTTGTCTTGGCATGATCTTGGCATGAGAAGCTCAGACATGTGCAAGAGGCTGCATCTCTGGTTGTAGCTCTGGGTGTATACGGCCAAGTCAGCCATACACAGAAACAGGTCACACAGAGGCGATCAGAGGCGTTTGAGTCTCCGGCCCCTGCAACTACATGAGATGCAGAGGTAACAATGTTCTCTTAAAGGACCAAGGTAAACAACGTGGGTGGAATTGGTCTGGTAGTCAGTACATCCAGTGGTCCCTACACTCCGGCATGCTTCCGATTTTGTGCACCAACCTGAGTGGGAGGCGGGTGGAGGGGGTGAGTCCATACCACAACCAAGCCATGATTCAGGAAAACCAAATGCACTTTCCCAAGACCAGGCGTGACAGAAACTGAGTGGCAACCCCCTCAAGAAATAGATTCATTCTGCGGAAATCCAAGTTTTAGCAGGGACCTTGCCTTGTCAGAATCCTTCGGGCTCTGCCTTCTGAAAATTCCTCACGCTTGCAATTTCGTGCTAGCCGCCATGGATTCCATTGCAAAAGTGATGGACTGGGTGGGGCTTAGCGGCACAGTCAACGATCTGGCAACACCGCGTGGATCATTGTTACGGCTCCTGGGATCGGATGGCGAAAAACATCCTCGTGTCTTGGCTTCCTTGGCTCAGGCAGATTGCCAGGAAATCATTGCAAGTTGGCGGCCGAAAATTCCCGCTGCTCAGCCCAAGGATCTCCCACCGATCAAGCTCCTACCCCAATTCAGCTCGGGCAGGCTGGGTGAGTGGGGAGAACATGCCAGACAATGTGCTCTATCACTGCTACGGCTCTTCCATCGGCAGTCAAGAGGAAGGTGAAGATATCCTCCGTCATTAACCAGGACGACGGCCTTGAGATCGATATCCTGGACATGAATACCATCAACTATGCTTACGCCAAGTACGTGGAGAAGATCAGGGCCTTCCCTAGAGGCGATGAGGAGCTGAGCACTGAACAGCTGAGCAGTCTACACAGTCTTTTCAAGAGCGGCCGGGCACCCTACTGTGACTTTGCTATATGGGGTCCTCATCACCACAGGCTTCAGAAGAAGATTCCCTTGAAAGGTGTCAAGCTGACGCCGCAGGGCGAGATTCTCACAGTGGAGCTAAACGGGCCGGCGGATTACGAATCTTGGAGAGACTGCTACGCTGCCTTTAAAGTGGGCTTCATCATGTTTGAGGAGATCTCGCCGGCGCGCCTCGAAGGATACGAGAAGACCATCATGCGCTACCATGAACGCAACGGTCGCGCCTGCTGGGTCCTGATTTATCAGGCGGACGTTCGCTGCCGTTTGGAGAGCAGCGAGAGGCTCAGGCGCCTAGGACAAGAGGGGCACGACAAGGCGGTTGCAGCTGGGTGCACGCGCGAGTTTGACACCAAGGCACCTAGACGACCACAAGTTTTGGCGTGGCAAACTCGAGGAGCCAGGCCTTCTGATCTTGGCAAAGGTCGAGCGCCAAGCTCGACAAAGTCATCGAGAACGACGCTCCGGTCGACTTCTCCACCCCCTTGGACTGCAGAGTCGCGGGTGGCGACTTGGCAACAAGTGGACCGGGCCAACGTCAACCGCGAACATCGAGTTGGTGAACCCCACCCTCAACAGGCGCGGCGCTCGGCTGTGCATCTTGCAAAAGGGAGACAAGCTGGGAAATCGAAGCAAGAATCCGGCCATGAAGCATCAGTGTGCAAAGTGTTTGGCGGAAGATCATGGGGCTTCAGTATACCCCTGTCTGTGCCCGAGATGCCCAGAGTCTTCAGAGGAGGGGGAAAAGGGAGCCAGAAAGGCAAATAAAGCGTTACTGACCTGTGGGGTCAGCGGAGGACCGGAAGGAGGTCGTGATGAATCACAGGGACCAGGCCCATGTGGGGGATTGTCAAAATTATGGTCCCTTTTTGGGTCCCCTAAATTAGGCCCCGCATTAGGCCCCCCAAAAAGGGACCATAATTTTGACAGTTCCCCGTGTGATGAAAGTGGCCTCTACTTCCCCTTCAGTGGCGCCCACTGACGCTGCAGAGCCGGGTTACGTTCGGACCTTTGTGCAGGAAACCTTCTGTGAGGAACCGGCGGTCAAGGTCATCGTCGGCGCCACGGCTACAAAGGACAAGGGCCACGCGGCTCCCGGAACCAGGAGAGGCGTCTTTCTGCATATGTTCAGCGGCTCTGCAAGGATGGCTGACTTCGCCGACTACCTCAAGGAGCTTTGCCTTGATTCCTGCGCCAGGCTTCTGGAGAGGATAAAGGCCGCTGATTTTGACGCCTTGCAACACCTTTTCAGGAGCAAGGCAAGAGGATGACGGAGGACCTAGACCGCGTCGTCTCCCTGACTCGCTGCGTGGCAGGCCTGGGCGAGGAAATGAAACCAGTCAAGGCGGGCACTTTGCTTGCCAAGAGAGCTGCTGAGGTTTTCGAAGCCATTATGGACCTGGACAGACCAGCGTTAGGGCAGCCTAAGCCGCGTGACCATGCAGGAGCTGTCAGCGTGCTGGACCTTGAGGAGTTCAGATCCATCAAGGACAAGGCCAGCTTAGGTGAATCGCCGTCGACAGGTGCCTGAAAGTGGGGACCGTACGCACCCAGGGCAAGTGGTGGCATGGATACCAGCCAGCAAGTGGCAGGCAGAAGAAGTCTGTGGTCTTCCCAGAAAACCATGCTTTATAGAACCATGGCCGCTGCGCAGGTGGCATAATAAGGGGGCCATGGAGTTTCACAGCCAATGTTACCGCTCGCTCCGGTGAGGATTGCGCCGTGCGTGCATGCGGACACGTTCGGCAGGTCTTAGAACGTTGCAGCGCGTAGCAAGTTGGGCACTTCTAGTCAATGTGCCTGAAGCCTTTGGAGAGTCTGCGCGTGTCATCAGCCCAGGAGTGGTTGGGAATTGCACCTTGGACATGTCTGCGCGCAGTTGCGCAGTTCCACATGTTCCCGTTGAGTCAACTTCACGTCGTCTCGCTGCGAATTTTTCATAGGTGAGGGTTGGGACACTAGTACCGTCATGCCCAAGAGAAAGGCGCTAGGACTTCTCCTAGTGAACAGGGGCTATGTCAGGGCCAGCGCCCACGGCCAGTGGATCCTGGAGCCGACGAGCTTTCCGAGTGTGATATGGATGTAGTTGTTTTGGTTCCCTCTTCTTCTCACCGCAGTGCGCCTCAGTGGGCGGAGAGGGCGGAGGCGCCACGTACGGCCTTCACAAAGGGGCTCAGAAGTGGAAGTCCGACCCTACGCTCACCGAGGATGCAAAGGGGCTGCCTTCGACTTGCTGATGAAGGATATGCAGGATGATATCCACGCTAACTCGTCCAGGAAATCTTCAGCGGCTCTGTTGAAGACGTGGGCAGACATGCGCAAGGCATGGTTCGGACACGCTTTTCCTCGCTTTCAATTGACGGGAGAGTGTGTTTGCAGTAGCCGCTACTATCAAACAAAGAGGCTAGCGCTCGTTTGCGAATTACGCCTCAGCTGCAAGGGATAGACGCATTGTGCTCAAGGGGCACTGGCCTGACAACTTGGCCTTGAGCATTCGCAAGTGCGAACCAGGGCCGCTCTACAGCATAAATCTCATCACGATCGCATGCTACTTCATGCTGGGCGAGATCGAGGCCAGCCTCCTGCTGTACCACAAGGTGTTCATCGACCACGACCGCAAGGAGGTGACGATTAAGCTCCCTTAAGACTGACGCAATGGCCCTGACTACGGAACGTACTTACTTGGGGCTGCCTCTGCCCGGCGTCAGGTGAATGGCGGTGCCCATACCACGCTGCTGTTCAACAGGCCGAATTCGTCAGAGAGATGGTCGAACTCCGCCTCCCAACCAGAGATGCACGCAGACTTCTTGGAGGTCACAGCGCCTGGCCTGGAGGCGCTCAGATGCTGGGAAAAAAAGGCATGTATGTGGTGCACATCAAGTTGATGGTACGTTGGACTTCGCCTCTCATCCTGCGCTACACGAAGATGGCCCCGCTCCAGAACATCACCAAGGACTACTCCCGACTGAAGGTATCCGAAGAGCTTCAAGAGAAACTCGATGAGATTCAGGCAGGCCTGCGGAAGCTTGATCTCGAGCGGGGTGAAGAACGAGGCCTCAAGGCCATCGATGAGCTGGCGGGCAAGGCGTTTCTCCTTCCTCAGGATGGCGTCGGCTCCTTGAGGAACGCCTCACCAAGTTCAGCGATGACTTCCTGAGGAAACCATGCGATTTTGTCATGAATCATGATTCCACGTGTTGGCATATCGTTAAGGAAGGCGTGATTCACACGGTTCCCCTTGGTTGGACCACGGCATGTGGATTTAAGTTTGGCCAGGGCTTACACCAGAGCCAACATAATTCATGCCGGAAGCCGAAACTGTGCCAAGTGTTTTACCTTGGAAGACTGAATCCGAGCCCTAGTTAGAGCAGACATTGTCATCATTTAGGGGATTCAGCCTGCTAATTCGTCGTATCGGGGCGGCGCTGGGCTGAGATGCAGTGCGTTTGCGTGTTTGCATGCCGACGACTTTCGGATTGCCAGCTTCCTTCAAGAAAACCATGCGTCTTTGGAAGGAAGGAGGGACAACACCAACTGAGTTGTTTGTTGGAACACTCATGTTTAATTAGCAACTGAGAAGGAGGTGGGACGGAATGCATGCTTGTTAATTTGAAGCCAGGGCTCCAGGCTGCAGCTTCAAACTTTTGTTCCCACCCAACCCACCCTCATGATTCCGTCAGGCATCATTTAGGGGATTCAGCCTGCTAATCCGTCATATCGGGGTGGCGCCGGGCTGGGATGCAGTGCGTTGGCGTGTTTGCGTGCAGATGACTTTCGGATTGCGAGCTCCCTTGACGAAAAGCATGCGTCTCTGGGAGGGAAGAGGGACAACATTAAGTGAGTTGTTAATCGCTACCCACGGCACTGTTGTACTTGCCGAGCACGAAGTAGCACAGAACACATCATCCAGATTTGAATCCGATAAAGCCATAACCTACAAATAGGGCCGGGTTTTAACTCCACGTAGAGCTTTGGTTGCTAAGTCCAGCGGACTCCAAGCGGTACTCAGGTCTGGGGATGTCTGGGGAACTCGGATCAGGATTCACCGTCAGGGAGTTTGCTCTTTGGAGCAACCCATCGTTCAGTAAGTTTTGGGAGTAGCCGTGCGTCGGCTCAGCTCCCGAGTCGCAGCCTGCCAGTGTGTGAGTGAGCTACACACCCGTGTGGCACCCGCGTACCTGCGCACCCACCAGCTGCACTGCAATAAGAAGACTTTGTCAAGTGAATTTTTCATGCGCTGCGCTTAGGTTGTAAACTTTCTCTGCTGGGCCGCCGAACCAGCGCACGATGAGCGCAAACTGATTGGTTTGAAGGTGCCAGCTTGGTTTTGTGGGTTTAGGTGACATCAGTAGCTGACGCAAAAATGAGAGCTGCATCATCTGCAGGCGATGTCCGCCTGCTTCGTTGGGACATTCATTGTCGGATTCTGGTACAGAACCATGTGGATCGGGCACGTGCCCCAAAAGATGTGCTTCGCACTTGGATAGCGCATGTGGAAGCGATGTGATTTGGATCCTCCAGGTTCAAGACGCGGCGGATTGATTTTACAAAGGCCGTCATGCCCATCCCCCATTTGTTTCTTACGACTCTGATCGGCTGAGAAAGTGGTTGACTCTGAGGTGATCATGCCCGATCGCCAGCTGTGGGCCATTGCATATGCGGTGGACCTCAAAGCGAGTTGGCTGTGCAGTGCTGCCGGTGTGCCGAACGTGCACGACTCCAAGGGTATTTGGATTATTGTTCTTAGGAAAGCTTACCTGTTGAAATTAGTGCTGTGCAGTGTCGGCGACCGGCCTCGGACTGCAACACGCTTCTCCAACGTCGGGCGGAGCAGAAAGAAAAGCTGAGGACATGCACATGCCAGACTCCCGCGACTCCTGTCCTTGCATAGCGCTAGTAGAGGGCAGGAGCTGGGAACTGGCTTGCGCAAAGGAGGATTCAGACAGCTGCCTGTTTGGAAAGTTAACGTTGGAGCCAGACAAACTAACAATGCAGCGCTCACACAGAGTCGAATGCCCTGTTTGAAGGCTTGCTGCAGGTGCAAAACTCTGACAGCTCTAACAACTGTTGAACGTGGGTATACTGATGGCAACTGAGCCATGGAGAAGCAAACGTTAAGAACTTTAGACGTTGAAAACGCTGCAAAGATAAGTGAGTCTGTCATGGCTTATGAATGTTTATGACCACTCAGAGATCCTGTACTGAAATGTGGTAAGTCTGTTTACCAGCAGGCGCCAACAACAAAGCCCAACAAGTGCAAGCTTGTTTATATCACCTGCCTTGTAATGGAGGGCGGGCTAGGCGCAAGCTGCACGGCCCCCTCTCAGTGATGAGAAAGGAGCCGAACCATGACATTGGTTGAGCCATGGGAGCAAATGGCTCCGTCCGAAGGTCGAACACAGCAATGAGTTGCTTGGCGTATGCTCTTCTTTCATGTCTTTTTTTGTGCATGCAGTTCGTTCTAATTGTAAACGCTATCGCAGATCCACCTCGGCTGTTGGGTATGCAGACAGCGATGCTGACTCATACGGTTGGGGCAGGGGGTGTACGTAAACCCTAAATTCTTACCCCCGTATATCCCAACAAGATAATCCCAACAGTATATAACCTCTATGAGGGTGTTCTAAATCTGAGTTAAGGTGGGGGAAATGCTCACCACCGCCTACTCCCAAGCCCTGAAGCCATTTTTGGACGGCAGGCCTGGACTGGATCACCCGCAATGGGAGGAGGGGGCGAGGGGTTGCCAAGGTTGGATGGGGTCTGCAAAGGGGGAGCAGAGGGGGGTTTTAGAGGGTTGGATGGATCAGCCTCGACGAATTATGCATGATCATTCAACACATCCTGCGCGTACACCCCTCTCGCTCCCGTCAAAAAGCACGACAGTGTGACTCTTGCTTTCGGCCAAGGTTATTTGATGCAACTGGGCTACAGTTCAGGTTGTTCCATCAGATTTGGTGCTGCTTTTTGCAATGCCTCTGTGGGTGAGAGCCAATTATGATGCCAGCTCAGGAATGAGTTTAATCGCCTGAAATCACATGGCGTTGATGGAGAGGCGCCTTTCGGTTATGAGACTTGATTGGTTAGACTTCAAAGTGCAAAGTTTCTCGTTGCGAGGCGGTTTGGGGCGAGTGGTTTGCGGCCGGTGTCTCAATACATTGTCGAATTGCTGCAGCGCCAATGCTCTGCCCTTGCAGAGGCATCTTTGCTGTCCACGAATGTCAATGGGGCCAGGGCCTGGGTGAACCGCACCACGCTGGCCGGAAGAGACGGCTGACCACGCTCAGGCTTCCCTGCCTCAAGCACATACTCACGTGGAGGCATGTACTCTGCGTTGTGTTGCAGTAGCCGGCGGAAAAATCTTCTCGTCAGGACCCTGAGGAAGAACTTCATATCGGGTGTAAGTCTATTCAGAAAAGAATTTTGTACCCTGAAACATGTACTTTAGATGTCTGGGCGGGAACGCTAACACCTCAAGTAGTTCTCGAGAGGTTCTTGGGGATGCGGCCAGTCTACTGTGCAACACATTGCCTTCACCTGGTGCAACGTCTGAAAAGACAGGAAAGACATGTTGTCGTCAACCCAACCTCATCTACTGTCGGCTTGTGATCTCCCTGTTGAAATATGTTGGAATGGAGATTTTCGTTGAATGCAGATTTCGTCAAACTGCTCAAACAGCTGTTTGCTCGTCTACACAACAAAATATTTGCCCATTTTTTGCGGACGGTCTAGGGCCCTGGGCCCTAGACTTATGAAGTGCTTCTTTCCAGCTCGACTTCCGACAAATTGAGCTCTTACTGCGCTGAAGGAGCCCGTCCTCACTTTGGCATCTCTTCAGCGGCTTGTTACGCCTGAGGCATTAGCCGTCCGGCATTTGGATTTTCTTGGTCCCAGCAGATGCGTGAAGTAGATTGCATCCACCAGTCTATGCATGACGCTGCAGGACATGTCCCTCGATTTTCGGCACATTGCAACTCTTTGGAAGCTGGACTCCAATCGAGATGGCGTCGTCACGTTTGAGGTAGGATGCCCATGCTGAACATCCTGTGCAAATTGATGTGTCCTGAGCTGCAGGAGCTTGTGAGTTTTGCCGAGTTCTGTGCTGAGCAGCGAATGATGCTTGGAGATCTTGAGTTGTCACAGAAGCTGAAGGCAGACAGGAAGCGGCCACCAAGCCGCTGTGACCTGAATATTGGGGCAGGCTCTCTGTGTCATGGAGATGATTTCAGATGTTCATGATGAGCTCCGCCCTCAGTCCGCCGAGCCTGATGCCATTGTTGACTCTGTTGAGCAGCATCGTTCGTGTACAGAGTACTCAGGGATGGCCAGGACATGTTCGTGGACTGGATGCTCAAGCCTCTTGGCTGAGACCATGAGGCTCACAGGCTCACAGATGTGTACTCGCTCCTTTCACTTCTGTGTCTTTTTGTCGAGGCTTGTGGCCCAGGCAGGGTCTGCGGCAAAAGCATTGTTTTTCCAATGTGGCTGCCAATGCAAGAGCCTGTTATCGCTCTGTAGCATGCAGTTTGCCAATGTGATGCAAGAACTCCCAGTGCAAAAGGAACACCTTGTGTCAGAGGCAAGCGGGTAGACCCTTGCAAAGACAGCACAACCAAGCTTGACACAGAATTAGCTGACAGCAGGCTTGCATGCAATCCCAAATACTTGGAGTTGGCAACAAGCCTTCCACTACGCTGGATCCCTGTACCGTGCTACATAATCTGTGTGGCCTTCATTCATGACTCCACATACCTGCGACCCTTTTTACCGTAAGTTTGTTAGATCGAGGCAACCAAAAACCCTGGATTCTAGATGCCTCTAAACCCCTTAACTCCAGAATTTTCAGCCATGGAAATCATTGCTTACCTAAGTCAGATGCCCTCAAATCTAAGACTCTCAATGCTTACAGATTCCAAGCGGAGAGCTACATACTTGAATTTATTAAGCCATTCCACGCAACTGCGCTGGCCTCTCCATCTGAGCCCTGTGTTGGCGGCAACGCGCCATTCCCCAAATGATAATGTCCTGAGATCCTGAGCCAATTCCTGGCTCAGACGCTAGTCTTTCAGGACGTTACGCTGGGAGGGCGTAGTTTTGCAGGCATCTGCATCCGCTTTTTAGGATACTCCCCACTAAATGCCTGAATCCTCCAGGCCTGAAACCATAACCTCCGACCGCCTCTGCGCTGAATTTGAGGATGGCTGAAATCATGCGCCGGACCCCCAATGCCTAAGCCCTCAAGACGTATGAGGTCCAACTACTTCTTTGACACCCCTTTGGGAGTACTCTTGCAATAGCCTAGGTTGAAAACGTTACCCTTGACATCCCCCAACCCTGAACCGCGCACCCCGCAAGCGTGCGTCCCCACCCAAATGATGAAAACTGCCTTGCCCTCTACCACAACCAAACCCAGAAATTTACGGTGTCGTGCCCTCTGAGATGCCTTCTGAACATCACTACAACTTCTCGCAACCCTGACGACTCGCCAAATCCTAGGCCGTAAACAGAGCCTGAGCCTTGCTTCAACCTTTACCTGTCAAGTTGGCACAGACTGCTCTGCACCCACTTTGCAGTCTGCAAGC